AAATGCAGTCATTGAAGCCGATCTGTCAATAAGAAATGTTGACTTGAGTTTTCCAGCTGAAACTTAGTGGCTTCAGGAGCTTGGATGCTTCAGCCAGGGCTGGCAGATTTGACTTGTGCAGCTTCCACACTCAGAGCTCTCCTGAAATCCAAGGGTATGATATAGTCCTTGTGGGTTTAAACCCCCATTCATCTCTTTCAAAGGTACAGCTGCTTACCTCAAAATTATTTTGTAGGGTTCAAGTGCATGGATAGGTTTTAGGAGGCCTGGTTGTACAGCCCTTCAGACTGCTCACCTGCTCCAAATTCTTCCTGCCCTTCTCAGCAACGTTCCCCAATGCCCAGCTCAACATCTCAGTTGGATCTGGACACTTTCTAGCCCTCTCCTGGAAGCTGCATCACCATGAAGGAAATGATGTAAGGCTCACAAAGCTGCGGATCAATTACCCGTGGTGGAACCTGGCACTGGCACTAGTTACCAAAGCTTTCACTTTGAGGGCAAAATGAAGTCTTTGGTCACCTTCCCCAGCTGGTAGTAGCAGATTTCTGCTGCTGTGGCGGGACTGGTTTTCTTCCAGCCGTCACCAGGAGCACTTGCAGAATCCACTTGAAGCTTTAGCAACCCAACAGGCTTGCTTCGCATAGCGGCACTGGTCTCGCTGCCTGGCCTCCACAACACCATGTTCCCCTTGGTTGGCCTCCAAATAGCTCTTCCACACATCCCAGCCTGTCGCCCTCTCTCCTCAGCAGCCAAGTCGGTCTCCCGTGGCCCAAGTACAACAAACACCGAGGTCGTCTGCTGGGACGGCTGTGAGAATCCTTCCTCGCTCAGCCTCGCGGGAGCTGAGGGTCGCTTCGCAGTCCTTCCCATGGCCTCCTGGCTTTTCCCTCTGTGCTCGCTGTCACCGTCTCTGCCTGCTCCTCCTGAAATTCTCACCACCGCGCTGCCTCCCTGCCCCGCGATCCTGGCTGCCTCCCCTCGCCTGTCTCGCTACACAACAGGCAGCTCGCTAATGGGGCCTCAGCAAACCCCACTCTTGATTTCACACCCCACTGCTCCTCCTTTGGGAAGGAAACATGCCCGTTTTTCTTTTCTTCCGTTTTGCCCCCCACCTCTGTTTCTGTCTGAGTCTTACTCCTCCCTGTCAAATTCACAGGCTCGGCTTTCAGCTCTGTTCCTCCCTTCCTTGCCTGCTTTTACCCTGTGCCGTGTCCATCCCCCTTGTCCGACCCCACTTCCCCACACCTCTTCTAGTGAGCAATTTGAGTCTAGCTGCCTTGGAGGCTATTTATTTTAATAGGTATATCCCTTAGTACACTGGTTTAATATACCTGCTTATCTCTTCTCCCAGAGATCATTTTTTACATTGTAAATTAAATAGGGAAAGTCAAAAGCCAAAGGAATAGATTTATTTTTCAATGCTCTCAGTGGAAGGCCCCTGCAAAGGTACCTTTCACAGCACATATATAATTGCATAGATGATTAGCGAAACAGCTGGGGCAGTGGAAGAGACGTAAGGCTGCCATAATTTGTCAAGGTTAGTTTACCAGTATGGCTGAAAATCATGCAACTGCTGTTCTACAAAAGCCTGTCCTGCAAACCAATAAATTTTCTTACCAGTTCGTTGGCTGCCGTGCACTTTTTTTTGTTTCCCGTTGTTTCAGAGCACCAGCAAATGCACATTTGGCTGGGAGGGGCGGGGGACAGATGCCCAGGCACATGCAATTTCTTGTTCTCGTTGTTGTGAACACAAGAGCCTGCGGGGAAACTGCACTGACTCCTCGTGGCACTGCCCTTCCTGGGAGCAATGAGGACAGGGTAGGGTCTTTGAGGTCAGTGAAGGTCTCCTGAGTCAACTGAGGCTCTTGAGTGAATGAACAGAGAAAACAACCATCTTGTGTTAAGAAATTTTTATTTGTCCTTTGGATCTGTAATGTAAGCACAGAAAATTACAAGTGGAAGAAACATCATGCCACAAAATTGCATAGAATTTTTACAAAAATGTGAATTATGCCTCTGAAACAATCATAGATTGAGGAATCGAAAAAATATGTACATGTTAACTGAAATATTTCATCCTACTTCAAAAGCAAATCATCAAGGACTAACCAATCACAGACACTATTAATACAATGTACAAGAGCAACACTGATTTCAAAGGGCAAGCAATGATGACCCTTTAGTTATCTTTCAGTGAATGTTTAGCTAATACATGAGCATTAATTAACATAATTATGAACATGTTAAATCTAAAATGTCTGGCCTTCATTAGAATTGTTAAAATTCTGTTTATACTGCCAAAACCAAGCTATTTTCAGTAGTGTAAAGATATCTGAAGTGCACGACCTAGTTTAATATAGACAGCTCTACTCTATACAGCAGAAAGTCCACGATACAGCATTTTCACACATTCAACACGGAACAAGGCAAATACATAAAAGGCACAAGACTTGCACATCATAAAGACCCCTTTTTCATTATCTTACTCTAGTTCAAGTAATATCAATATTAAATGATATCTGTTTCACTGAAATAGTTTGAACAATGCAAGATGTACAGTATTACACACTACCTTACACCTGCAGAAAGTGGCACTGTACAGATATAAAAAAATGTGAGTACAGGAAATGGTCAAATACAAACGTACTGTAAAATGACTACAGCTGATAGTATATTTAATCCAACCAGTATATTTATTTATTTTTAAATATAAATAAAAGGTTAATTGGTATTTGCCCAAGTTTCTTTGAAGACTGTGGTGAAGTCCTGGCTCCGCTGAAGTCCACGGGAACGTAGCGCTGAAATTCAAAGGAGCTAAGATTTTACCAAAACGCCTGTGCTGTACAACGGTTTCTATTATGCAATAGTCTTCAGTTTTATTGTGAACACTGCTATCGGTTTATTCTTTTAATAATTTAGACAATATGTCATTTTTACTTTATAAAATGCAGCATTACATCTTGACTCTCTACGTTTTCAATGAGCGATTAAGATTGATTTCAAAGTGCAAAACAAGGATTAACAGAGGATTCACCTTTCCTAGCATTAAGATGAAAGTCAGATTTTTGAGTTTCATGTTCACTAATTTCATCATCATAAACCAGAATAGTTTAATCCAAAATGTCATCTCCAATGTGCAATTTTTCTTTCTTTCTGCTCTAAGTTTAAAAAAGAAACATCAAAATACTGTTTGCTTTCCAAGAGCTGAACTTATATATATATATATCTACACCATTATTTAACTGAAAACTGAAGCTTGATTTGTATTTTATTGCTTAAATTTAAATAAAATAAGTTACTTTAAAGTACTAAAATCCTGAGGGAATGGAAGTAAAGTAACTTAACTGTTACGATGTATTAAAATGCCTCCCTACATAATTGACTGCTTTCTCTGATTGCTTTTTAACTCAAAGTAAGGCCCCGATCTTGCAAACGTGTATGTGAACATTATTGCCCAGAACAGTTGCACTGAGCCCAGCGGTGCGCAGGAAAATGCAAGTTTGCAGGATCAAGCCTCTTGATGCAAATCTGTGTCTTCTGAGCTAGTTTATCCTTTGCCCGAAGACGCCTCTTCACCACGCTGCTGAGGGAAAGGCCTTTAGCATTACGCATGGGCTTGGGTACAAGTAAGAATCCATCTGTAATGTTTCATAATTCCTATTTCTGTTACCATGGGAATCCAGAGAATAGCATTTCTTTACCTTTTCAAATATCCCGACTTTCACAAAGTCTGTCGTCTGATAAAGATTTCTCAAAATGTGCCGTTAACTTCTCTCATGCATATCATACAGTACACTAACTTTGATTGTTCTTATTTTAAGAAGTCAGTTAAATGGATTAATATACATTTTTCAATAACAGTGACCAGGTTTTTATATTTTGCTTTTAAATTTCAGACCTTAGTAAAACTGAACCTCAGTCTTAAAAATAATGGAAGATTCTGTTAAATTTCAAATACTGTAGTCCTAAACATTTTATAATCCTATCAAATTCAGTAAGCTTAAAATATGATACTTAAAATCAATACTTTTGAGTCTGCAAAATATATATCAAATTTATATTCTAAACCTACTTTGATTTACAGCACTAACACCACAAAAAGAATTTTATGATTCAATGACTATTTATAGCAGTATAACCCAGATGTTAGCTTTCATAAAGATTCTCTCTACTGGCGTATCCCCGAAACATTTCGTTTGGCCAAGAGACCACGCTGACTTCAAATAGAAACATGCCGTGCGTCTCTACAGACGGATGTGTGTGCACATATAGCGCTATATATATATATACACAAACATATATGCACTCACACAGTGTAACAAACACAGATGTACACAGACACCGACAATCTCCAGGCAGAGTTCTTCTCTTTGTTCTCCTCTTGTCCCCACAGTTCCAAGAATTTTCAGCAGCAAATATATTTCTTTCTGTGTGATAAACATAATATCAAGACAGCAAGCCACCAGTGCTTGCAAAGCTAAAAAGGATTAAATGTTTCAGTGCAAATGTAAAATGATGGTACAGCTGTCAAGGTGCAGTTAGAAAGAAGGAAACAAATATGACTTAAGTACTGTTACAATATTCTCTAGGGTCTGTATTAGTTTGGAGCACTTTGCACTGGCACTTCAAAAGGAAATCTGCACACATTTGTCTCTGTACAATACACTGGTCTTCATTAAACATTCTTAACAGTGAACATGGCCAGAAAATCACCCATTGTAAACTGGCCAAAAAAAAAAAAAAGAAAAAAAAAAGAGAGGAGAGGATGGTTAACATATTAATTTTCCCATTACAACTGCACTAAGCTTTAGAATAATAATAAGACGAAGAATGAGAATGAAGACCTTTGCACAATACTTTCTCTAAAATGTTCCTTTTGGGAAATGTGCACTTGAATGCCTCTGCCCCCCGAAGCGCTTCAGCAGCAGCTCACATTGGGAGAGCGGGGACAGGCAGCTGGGGAGCGGTGCGCCCTCGCGCACTGATTGTTTCTTGGGCAGTTAAAAAGTAGTATCAAACACTTTTTCTGGATTATCTTCTTCCACTTCCTCTTCACTTTGCAGAGGTTTATGATTTGATTTTCCACCGTCAGATGCCAGGGAAGAGGGGGCAGAACTGTGGTCTCCATCTTCGTTGATTTTCCCTTTCATGGCTTCCTGTACAAACTCCAGGATTTCCAAAGGCAGTCTTTTGAATTTGTCTTGATATTCCTGATCAAGTTCCACCTGCAACTACAACAAAAGAGACAAGCTGTCTTCAGGTGTATCTAACGCGACCAGTGCTACAGTATGGGGAAAGTACCACACGAGGCAGGGGGGAAACTCATAATGCATTTTTTCATGAGTCAAGAATATCTTCATTCCTTTTTCGTATCAGTGCCACACATCCAATACGCCTGTTGACTTCCATGCAGTCATCGCAAAGCTGAAGGAACGTGCAGTCATTTGTGCGTAAGGCTGGTTTTGGGTACCATCCTAGTGTACCCAAATCCTTAAAATATACATGGATTTAACTGTATTGGTGTCCATACTCCCACTGGCTTTCACAAGACCCAATTCAAGTGCAGTATGGATCACAGGTAAGCCTTTGAAAGAGCAAGGCCTTTATTAAGCTTCAGGTAGCTAATCACATATTAATCGCACCACAAACATTGCTCTGAGAACAATATAACAACTTTTGCCAGATTTCTTGGGTTGGACAAACCATTAGGAAAAAGTCAGTTGTCAAAGGGAGTCAAAGATGGAGGAAAAAAAAGTTTAAATGACATTTCTTAGGGCTAGATCATGGAAAGTCACATTATCTGATTAATGCAGTATGTGTCTTGGACATTACCGGGGAAAAAATGTCATATCTTCAACAGGATGCAAAAGGCATGCAGAAAGAAATATGGCTATTAGTCTTCAGGAAGCTGTGGCTCCTTTCCCAGTATTTATTTGTATAGCCTTTGTTTTTAGTGCCCATATTAGGATCTGCATGATCCATTATTTAAAAAACATTAATGTGTATGAAGGTTTCAACTGAAGACAAAGCCAATTTTTTCATCATGACCAATGTGAGCACGGCAGGAAGCAAAAGGGGTGAGTTCCAAAGCCAGACCCACTCTGTCTGTCCGTCCATCCATCCATCCATCCATCGACCCACCCACCTTCTTGAAAAGAGGGAATCAGGTTCTGCTAACCGTAGCTGCAGCAGTTTTGCAATAGTTTCTTAGGCAATTGTATTTTGAGTTATACTTTTTTCCAGGATGCATAAAGGTGCTATGGATTCTGATCCTTTGGCTCTTGAGTCTATCCTATCTAGTTTCAAGTCTCCTTTACCCCGTTGCAGTGCCTCTCAATAGATAATACAAATTTTCACTTGAACATTGGGACCCATACTAGTCTTACCATCCTTGACCTGTCCATTGCATGTGACTTTACCACTACCTCTCCCTCTGAGCCCTTCCAATCCCATTCCCCATGCTTCTGTCCTGATTTTCATCCTGCATCTCTGACTTTGTTTTTGTGAGACTTCTTCTCCTTTCTCCTGATGTGCAAATCAACGTCCTTAGCTCACCTGGTCTAGTTCTACATTCCTTAATTAGACACATTTTGCAGCTTTTCTTCCTCAAGATCTAAGATCTGGCCTTTTCTTCTTGGTTCCCCTGCTAAAGCTCCCTTCCTGCCTTGTTTCTGGCAATTTTCCTGCTCTTCTAGCCTCAGTTTCCCACCTCAGTGTCACAGTGCTGATAAACACTGAGCCTAAGGCACAAACGGTTCCATTAAATACACCCTGCCTCTAAAATATGTATCTGTATCAACTGGTAGACAGTCACTACCTTAACACCCTTCTTTCATGCAGTACCCTTCTTTTTTTCCCTGAACTTCCTTTGTTTTCTGCCTTTATGTCTAGATACAAATTTTTGAACGGATCCTCCTTTTGTCTCCATTTTGATAACACTTCCAAGAGTACACATATTATCAGAGGAACAGTGCCGTAGCATTGTTGGCAGGAAAAGCCCCCAACCGATGCTGATCATCTCTCACTGCCCAGCTCACCGTCGGGGCCCTGCAGCCCCAGGACTCCACCCCTTCTGCCCAGTGGCCTTCTCAACCACTAAGAAGTTACATCTGCACTGGTCTCTACTTCAGAGTGATGGTAGCATGGCACTCACGTAGGTCATATTGCAAATCCAAAGATTATGTTCTAGGCAAAAGGTCTATCGTCACCGTGCAATCATGCTTTTGGTTACAGTTCACTGCTAAATACCCACACTGCTTAAAAAAAACAGAAAGGAGGGAGGGGAAGGTGAGTCCTTCTATTTATTTATGACAATTACCCAAAGATGCTATCATAGTTAGAGGGAGATTTATGCCAAATGCGGGACAAAACACTCCTTGGGTTAATCTGAAAGAGCAGCGATGGCAGAGGCAGGGCACGCCAGCAGGCTCCGAGCACGCCGTGCACCACGCACGCCAAGTGCCACCGACTTTTTCTGTTCAGGAGCGTTTGCAGCTGGGCTCTGGGCTGCCAAAGCAGATCTGCAGCAGTGTCTGAGCACCCCACAAAGCCAGTTAAAGTTCCCGCAGGGAGAGGCAGCTCTGCATACAACATTTTTTATAAATCTAGGAATTGTGGGAAAGGCTCCAGAGCACTGGAAGACAAAGCTTTATAAAACGCCATGAATTTCTTCATACAGGAGTGTCTGAGCCAGAGATGGGCTGCTGCACTTCCCTGTCTCATTGCTGTACATGGAATTACTAAATTTGTAAATTCTGGGCACCTCAGGTATAGAAGAAGGAATCTAAAATCAAAAGTCAAAGAAAGTCTCTTGGCTCTAAACTGCCTTCAGAACCTTGATTTGCTTAATTAGGTTTAAGAGGAATAGAAATATTTAAAATCCCTCAGAAACCGAACGTTATCTGAACCCAGTGCAACCATAAGCATGTTGTTAGATAGCAATTGTGTCCAATGTTCACCTCCTAAAGCCCCTCTAGTGGGTAATCACCCGTAAGTCGAGCATTTAATAGAAATGACATGAATCTGGAGCTCGCTCTCTCTCTTCAGTGTCTCCAGAGACAGTCTATATAGATATCTAATCATGAGAAGGTTGAAGTCAGTTGAGAAGGAGCAGACAGTAGACAAAGAGGGTTGATTAAAACCACAACAGTGTGTAAAAATTAGTTTTCTTTTTGATTTCAAAGGTGCTGTCAGTCCTCCCCCTTGCTCAGCTTCAGACAAGCACCTCCGAGCTCATTCCCTGACCCCCAAGCTATCACACCAGACTCCAGCTGCAATGAAGAGCACAACGGGCGAGCCTGGGCACAAGGCAGCCGTCCCACTGCCAGACCCGACCCCTCACTGAAGTCTTCCTCAGCAAGCCTGGAGCTTGCAAACCCACAACAGTCTCACAGCGCATTGGCTATGTTTCTCCTCAAGCCACCAGCCCCGGGCACAACGCTGGCAAGCAGCTCTGGGTCAAGGTTAAAGAAACAAGTTGCCTGCCTAAAACCAGCTGGCTCAAAACCCCACCTGCTTTTCTTTTAAAAGCCTCAGTAGCCTTTTATCAGACAACAATAACCATATTCTGTGGCTTTCCAGGGACATGACAGTTCATTCACTATTGGGAAGCTGCCCTCCTGTTAGCAGCAGTAGTCATACGTGTCTTTTATATGGCGTGCTGATGGCATGACAAAGTGCCACGTCAGTGTGTGTGTTTAAGTGAAAACCTCTCTGCACAACCAGCACCCCACCAGACTCCAGCCCAGCGTGGCCTTACCGTTCAGTTTGCTGTCCCCTTGGGTTACTTCCCATCACAACTCCACCTACCCCGACTTCTCTGCTTTCTAGCCACTAAACAAGGTGACCTACGCCTGCTTTTAGGATTTTGGAGCCAGACAAGGGGATATGAGACTGATGATTAAGACAGGCAGATCATTATCTGGACCGCTTTTCCCATTAACACATAACAACCTTCTTCCTTCTGTTATCTCACTATCCGCTCTCTGATAGATCCTCTGTCCTCTCTTTAACCCCCAACAAAAAGAACTTACTAATGTCACCGCCATGCAGCTTTAGTATCCCACAAGGGGTTGGACACATTATTTCTCGTTCAGGTAAATCACACTCCCATGTACTTTACTTACAGGCAACGAGTTAATACTTTAAAATTTGGAGCCATCATTAAATGCTTGCAGTGAGGTCCTTGGGGACAGGAGATGAATGCGTTAGTCACTCTTACACAACAGCGCTAGTCAAAAATATCAGCTGATACTCACATAGGTTTTACAAAAGGGATAACTATCAGTATTATTATCCCCAAATTACAGAAGAAGGAGAGAAATTAAGCTTAGGTAGAGATCAAAGCTCGGGAAGTGCCATCCTCAGCCACCTCTGGTTTGAAAGGGCTCTCCTCCGCTCCATTTATATGACCGCTTACCAAACTAGACATGCCTCAGCTCAGGCTCGGAACAGGCGGTGGACCACTGGGCCACCAAATTGTCCTGCTCAAAACAACAGCAGATATGGTGAGGCTTTGATTGCGACCATCCTGCCTCTGCTCGCTGTACCCTGCAGGACGTCCACAGGGAAGCTGCGCCGGAGGGTCATTTAGCCAGCTGTTAGGCAGTGTGGGTGACCGAGGGGCTTGGGCCCACCCTCATGCCCCAGACGAACAGTGCCGTATCCTTTGAACCTCAACTACAACCATCACAGTCCCTGTCTGTAGGGACAGAAAACGAGCGGGGCTTTACAGGAGTAAGCCCGTGCCTTAGTGAGCAGAGCTCCTGGCAGGCAGGCAGCCAGCTGCCCAGTTGATCGGCTCACATTCCCTCTCCATTCAAAGGGATCTTCGGCATCCTTGGCTACAACCGCTTTCCAAAAAGGGTCATCATTCAGAGAAAGGCCTCAGCAACCCTTCCGTGGAATATGGGAGGCAAAAATCAATATGGTCATTCAGCTTAAAGCAAGGAAAATGCACTCCGAAAAGGAAATGAATGGTATTATTAAAACTATTTATAGCATTTATACCTAGCTGTTAGTATTAAAACTACCAAAATAACATAGCATAACATAGCATTAAAATAGTGACCAGAGTGTGAAAAACTGTAACTGTGATCAATAAGATTACAAAAGCAGAAATTGTGGTTTTAGACTATCCTGATCAAGCCCCTGTAGACTTTTGCATACTTCCAATGTGATCTAATGAACTTCTGTTTCTACCAAGAACAAAAATAAAACGATCACATGAAAA